TACATTTTGAGAGGTTATTTTTTGTCCCTTGCTAATATTGATCCTCCTCGATTTTTTTTCTGAATCTTGTTTAAAATTAAATTTGTTATTATAATTTTTTTTTTATTTATTTTAGAGAATTGCACGTTGTAACCGAGAAATGGACCTTCGAAAATTCGGTATGTAAAGGATCTATAAATGGAAAAGCAGCGTCGCCCGTAGAATTATTGAAGCATAGCATCAGACGAGCTTGGACTATTAATGGTTTGTTATCGTTCTGTTCAATTATACATTGCGTATACGTATAATTGGGAATTTTTTAAAAATTTTATAAATAAAAAACTCTAAACGCATAAATAGAAATGTATATTATGAAATATTTAATTCAATTATCTCTGATTTATGATATTATCTTCTTGTCTTATCATTAAAAATTATATTGAACTTGTTTAAATATAATATCTATTCTCAGGAAACATTACAAAATAATAATTACAATAGTTATATAACGACAGAATTATATAATTATAGCACGTTTTCTTATTTAACTGAATCTTTCGAGAAGAAGGGTAATTAAATTTAATTAAAAAAGTAAAAATAAATTTCAACTCAACAAAAATTTCATTTTTACTTTGAGAAAGTAAAACGTTGAATAATCTGCATGCAATAATAATATACCAAAAAAGACTTGCACTTCAACATCGAAAGAAACACGATAAATAATCGATCGCACTTTGCATGCGCGTACAGGTCCACCCACACGCTGGTCAGCGGCCAGGAAATCGGCCGAGTTTCGAGTGTATCGGAGTTTGCCGTCTCGTCATCAAGAATACCGAGAAATCATTACCAAGAGCGAAATCGTAAAATCGGCCGACATCGAAACATCGAATAATACGAAGGAACCAGTTATCGACGAGGCAACCTTACATACCGAGGACTGTAATGATTCTACGAAGGAGGATCCATGCAAAGATGCGATAACGAAGAGCGAATCGATCTCTGTTCACGAGAAATTCACGCCACGAGTCGAGACGAACGAACGAACGAACCCGAAACGAGGGGAGAAATCGTCCAATAAACAGGAAGAGGAAGTGCCATCGTTGGATGCCATAAAAACGAAGAGAAACGAGCGATCCTCGTTGGCCAATGGTAATAAAACGAAAATCGAAGAGCAGGAGCAGGAGGCCGGTAGCCAGGAGCAGTGCACGCCGAGGATTTCTTTGATAAAACCACCGAGGATATTGTCCAAGTTTATTTCACCGGAGATAAAATCGGGTACGATTAAGCATGGGGAGAGAAAATCGAATATACCGATATTTAAGAGAAGTTCCAAGGAGTTTGAGGATATTAGAAGCCCCCAAGAATCACCTAAACGTTCTCTCATACCTCAAAGGTAATATTTTCTAAGTTTAGAATTGAGGAATTTTTGTTTTAGTGAGAGATTACAGAATCATATTTGATTTATTTTTAATTTACTTAGAAAATAATTCTGTATTATGTGAATTTAAGATTTTTATTTAATATTTTTTATTCATAAATTTGAAAACCTAAGAATTGAAGAATTAAAGATATATCTATTCAGTAATTACTAATTATTGGGTATAAATATATAATTTTTTAATTGTTTCTTAAGTTAAAATTTTAATTTTCTTGCTATCTTTCCTATTATTATTTTTGGAAATTTTATATCAGAATAAATAAATAAATGAGAAATCAACTTTGAAAATTCACGTTTAAAAGAAATAATGAAATATATTATGAATATGAAACTGATACCATGAATTTTTAAAGCATCATTTTAGTCAAATAATTACCACATATAAACAATGAATCAAAATAAAAAAATATAGAATACATACAAATTACTTATTCTACTGTTGTATAAATCTTATTTGTTTAACTATATGTATAAATTATTAGCTACATATATGTGAAATATTTGACACAAAGTGTTATAAAAACTTTAAATTTTATTTTCATAATACTTATTAAATTTTAATAATCATATCACTACAATAATGTAAAGAGACAAATTAAATTTGTACACAAAAGGATAATTTGAAGTGAAAAAAAACTTACATCTTCCATTTACTTGTTAACAAAAATTCTTGTATATCTAAAAAACTTATATACTTCTCACTAATTATCACCAAAACTTTTTTCAGATATCGAGGAAGTACCGATGATCTGCGTCGCAGCCGCGAGGATATAAGTTTGCCTAGCTTGATCCCAAAACTGCTCTCTCCCCGTATCAAGGAGGACCGATTGAAGCGTCAGGACAGCAAAGACGATATCCGTTGCTCGTCCAAATCGATTAGAAAAGATACGAAAGAGGAATCTCGTGGATCTAGCGTCCAATCGATAGGGAAGGAGGACTCCAAGTACGTTATACGACTATTCCGGCGGGACAACAGCCGCGAGGACGTGGGTAGGGATAGTTTGAATTCAAATGCGAATAGCTTGGCCTTAGCTGCAAAAGGAAAGCAAACTGGTAAAGAAGAGAAGCAGGAGAGGACGGAGGAACAACGCGTGGGCGTCTCGACCACGTCGAAATCGAAATCGACGGTGCACGAACAAGGAAAGACGAAGGCAAGAGAAGGTAGCAAGGAGAGCTTGGATGGGAAGAGGAATGACGAGGAAGGGCCATGTGCGAGCCAGCATGAGAGAGTGAAAGCGGAGGCCAAGGAACAGACGATGCTCGACGTGGTCGTCAACGACGAGAAGAAGCTGGTGGAAGAGCAAGAGGGCGTGAAGAAAGGAGATAAGGAGGAGATACGTGGATGTACGGAGGCGAGGAGAGAAGGAGAGTCGATGGTCGAGGAGGCAGAAGTATTCGAGAACGATAAGAATAAGGACTCTATGAAGGAGACTAGTGAGAGTTTGATAGAAAATTCTGAACCTGATTGCAATGCGTTTGGGACGTTTGAGAGAAAGGATATTGGAATACATGGAAGGAGATCCGACGATTTTCAAGTGGTAAGTTGAGGTTTTACCAAGATTTAGTAGTTTGATGGAATTTTACTATTGAAATGCAATTAACAAATTATAAGAATGATGATTTGAATTTTGATTAAGTTTCTAAAAAGAGTATAATTAATAAATTATATAGGTTTTAGTACAAATGTTGAATTTGTTTTTATTTTTACAATTGTTTTTGATCTAGGTACGGAGGAAATTTTCAAAAGAGGAGTTTTCTAATCCTGATGACACGGATGACACTCCCAATAAACGCTGTTCCAGTGTAAGTTTCCCAATTCTCACTGTTAGTCTCATTGAGCATTGATGTTGTAACATGATGTATTGTTGCTGATGAGTAATGCTTTCTATTATCTAAAGAAAAGAATAATGGGATAGTAATATGCATTTATGAAATTATATGTTTCCATAATTAGTATACAACATATTTATTGTATTAAATGAAATTATTATGTCACTTATATTATTTACTCATAAAAGAAGCTTTTACGATTTTTAAAATAGAATTATATATAATTTAATCAATTATTAAAATTAGATTTTAATTTTGTTAAATATTTAAATGATAAATATAAAATAAATAATATAAAATATCTGATTGATCTAATAATAGTTTTACATATTAATCTATTAATTTTATTTACTCATGAAGAAAGATTTATTTTTTATAACACTAAACTTTTATCAACATTTTTCATATAAATAAAAATATTTTAAAAAATTTAATTTAAATCAAGCAATATTTATAAATATTTAGATGAATATTTAGATGAATGAATTATTTAGATGAATAATTTTCCTAAAATAAAAAAGATAGATAATAAAATAATTTTCAAGAATTAATAAATAACTCTATATATATTTTTCTTCTAATTTGAAATAATTTTTCAACTCATGTTTATACTATTTCATGGAAATGTGCAACGTGTTAATTTTCAGTTCAAGTAAAACCAGTTCTACTCAAAAAATAGATACATATTTGCTATTTACATATCAGCCTTCTGATACCAATTTACGTTTAATTATACAATGTAGCTGAAACATATACTTATTTAATAATAATTTAAATCATTGGTATAAAACTATTTAACGAAGCAGAAAAAGTTATTTAAATAAAAAACATTTCTATTCAATTCAATTATTTTTTAATCTCTCAAAAGATGATAAAATAAATATTAAATTCCTTTTCAGCATTTATCTCCGGAAGCGAGTCCACTGAGCACAAGATCCTCGAGATACAGCCCAAGGGAGAGCGAGAGCGAGCCAACCCCGGCACTTCCACGGAAAACAGGCGACTCGTGCTCGGCATCCCAAAGAATACGGGATGCGATCACGAGGACCAGAAGGGAATCGAATAGCAGTACTAGATACGAGAGTAGCGGTAGCGAGAGTGTGAGGTGTGTGCAATTTAAATCACGCGACGGTTAAATCGTGAAACTTAGCTCACCATCGTCAGAACACGTGCCTCGAATGATCAATTCGAATAATCGATCATTAGGAAGTAATAGCGGAAGTTTCAGCCGCCTGTGCGTGCGTTAGAAATCGAATCTGTGAGAAGAATTTCTGTAACGAAATGTAGCTATTAAGAATTTTGGAAATTTTAAATTAAAAGTTTGGAAGTTTTAAAAAATATTCTTAGATTGTAAGTGTTAAAAAAAAAAAAAGTAAGAATAAGATTAATAGAAGTCTATTTTGTAATCTATTTTGAAAGAAAGTTTTTATATTTAATATTTACCATTTAATATTTATGATATCACTTGAAGAGAAAATGTAATTATAATTTTAAAATTTCATTATAGGAAGAAATATATTTTTTGTACTTTCATCCTCAATAAAATATATACTGTATGCTAACTATAGAATGAATAATATTTAAGATAATTTTAATTTTTAAAATATTATTTAGTAATGAAAAGCACAAATGCTTTTTTTCTCTGATAAATGAGACAAATAGATATAAAAAATAATTACTCATATTTATCTAAAGGATATTATGAATTTTCATTACTTCTATTATTTCTTTTTTCAACTTTTTATTTATATATATATATTTATTATTGTTATTTTTGATTATTATTGTTAATCTTTTTATTATTTATTATAAGTTCATCTTTTATTCATTTATTTATTTTTTTACTTTTTTCGATTAGATTAAGTGAGACTGGTCTTCATGGATACGTAGAACTGGCTAGAAAAGTGAAATTTTTCGGTGGTAACGGAAGTGGCACGGTTCCATTAACGATCGGAAGTGATGAAGTAGTGCAACGCGATAGCGCAACAAGTGCAGGTGAAGATGATCCTCACGATGATAATCATGGAAGAACAGGTCCTGTTTCTTCTCAAGGAAGAAGCATGCTTCGTAGAAGAAGACAATTTGACGCCCAAGGTATGTAAATATAAACTTTCAATCATTCCTATTTATTTAATTATTTCAATTTAATTTTTAAAAAATAATAAAGTTTGAAATTAATTATTTCAACAATAATTTACATTATAAATCATTTACTATATCAAAGATTGATAATTAATCTATAGAATTTTATACGTACACATTATTTCATAATAATTATTTCTAGAAAAACAATATAGAAATTCATAGCATTTCCACAAACATCAACAAGAAATTCCACTATATATAGATCGTTAAATTTTCTGCACTATATCTAATTACTTGAAATAAAATTATTCCAATTACAACTTGTTTCCAAATTAAAGCAAAAAATTATCATTTTCACCAGTCCTCATTACCTCCATAACATTGCATAAAAGCAATCTTACTGCTTATCCATTTAAATGCATCCCAGGATGCACATCAAGCTTGTTAACAAAGAAACAAACGAAAGTAACGATGAAATCTTGGCGAAGCAAACGATCCATGAAACAATTCAATCCCCATAATCGAGTATCCGTTTCTAAGAACAACACTGTGCGTTTTCTCGCAATTGCCATCGGCGTTTGACGAACAATCGCAGGTATATAAATCAAAAATCGGATACGGCATGTCATCCGCCAAATTTTCATCGATTTCATGAATCATAAGGTACGATTTGCCACGGTGTGTATATTAATCAGTGGAACGAAGCGTAGAGATATAAGGTGTATAACTGAACACTGGATCGGGAAGCTCGTTCGCATTTGTATTTTAAGGCTGGTTAGAAGGCACAGCCATAACTAATAGAGTTACTAATTATCGTAGGAGCGAGTAACATTTCGCTTTCGCGACCGCCTTCATACATTTATGCGTTTTGTGTGTACATTTGCGTGTAATATGCGCTATATTCTTCTGCTCCTGAGTATAGATATATTCTTGTTCGCTGAAACGATATTGTTTGATATGTTTATTAATAATTTATTGGTAATAATCTGTTAGTAATTTAAAATTATAAATAATTATTTAATGTTACTTATCTTGAAGTAATATCATTTACTCTTCTATAATACCATATTATTTTTAAAATTACACATCACACATATCTAATTTTCAACTCTTATTTGATTTCTCCTCTAAAATTTAATGTAATATATGTATCTGATTATTGTATCCGTTCCTTTATAATCATAGAGTTTGTTTATAGTAAATAATTTATATTTTTCACTACAATGTACTTGAGTATTGAGTAAAATTTGTTTCAAGACAATATCATTTTTCCTAAACAAAAACAGAATGAATTAGAAATAAAAATAATCACTTTGAAACAATTATTTCAAATAATTTTTAGAATATAATATATGGAATATAATTTCTAATATAATAATTCAATATAAATTTATTTTAAAATATTTTAAATTATTTTCAATACTTATTTGAAATATCATCGAATTTAACACAGTATCTCTCGTAATTAAAATTACATTATCTGGTATGCCTGCCAGAAACAGCTTCCAGCTTGCGTATGTAACACATGCTTGGATAAGTCCATCGATTATCGAAACCATTGGCATACTAGCCCCGTATGAAACCAGCCCATGCCTCTCGTGAAACCTGCGAACTCCAGAATAGTATTATCAACGTTGCGAGCGCGATATTGTTTCTGTATCAAACTTCAAACACGAAATCGTGTTTGATAAGAAAAATATTGCATATACAGTCCCGTATCAGTGAACGTGTGAAAAATACGTAATAAGTGGGCATAAAAACACGCGATCAGGGATGATAGATATTAATAGATTGATAAGTGACCATTGATAAATATTTTTATCGACGATAATATTGAGAATTTTAATTAAAATATTGAGAATTAAATAAAAGAAATAATAGACGTTCACTGAAATTAAAAAGAAATTATTTTTAATAATATTTTAAAAAATTTTTTAACAATTAATAAATTGCTAAATTAAAATATTTTAAATCGATAGATAAAAAGTGAAGTTAAAATTATCAAAAAGTCTGAATAATTTAGAAAAAAAATTAATTAATTTGGTATAAAATTAATAATTGAGATTAAAAAAAAAAAACCTTTTCCCTTTTCTCTAGTCTCGATCGATCGGTAAAAATTTACACAATTTCCATCGATTTGGTAAAAAATTCGATACAGCAAGCTCGAGGATAAAATCCACGTATACCGTTGTTCTCGGTGCATTTCGCATGATACAAGCCACGAGCAGGGGATCCGAGTTGAATGCAAATCGCATGTTTCACGGCGTGAGATATCCATCCAATCTGGAGGGACCCGAGCATCCTGCAAACATGGACGTGAGAAGAATATGCCAACTATTAATCACCGGCTTCGTGTCCATGTATTTTTTGCTTTTTTACGCCGGGATTATCGTTTTTCTCTACATTCTTTGGATAGGATAGATACGTTCAAAATAAAGGGATTTTTTCAAAGAAATTTTATTTAATTTAAATGAACGGTTTTTGTTGAAGAAAATAAAAAAAAAAGAATCGATTTTAAAACATGAAAATCTTTGGTGTGTAGTTTTTAGATTTTTTGTGTGTAGTTTCGTTTTGAAAATGTAGATTAACAGTTAGCGAGAAGTTGTGTGAATTCGAAGTGAATATTACATTTTAAATTTATTTAAGTCATTTGTTTTTCTCTCTTTTTTTTAATCGTTTATATGTGAATGAATTGCAAAGAGAGAATAATTTATTATCTTTCGATCAAAGAGAGCTCGTATAATTAAAAAAAAAAAATTATAATTCCATAACAACATCGTTGGATGAAACTTGTTCAGAAAATCTTTGCTGAAAACGTGAGAACAACACGCCCACTTATAATCCGCTTCTAATTAATTAGCTACTCTCCTGAATAATGCTTATATCAGTACAACGAATAGGAGGAAATTTAGGCGTCTCAATTGTTTCCTCTGTTACGGTATTCGCAAATTTTTCCTTTGTAATTCTAATAATATGACTAAAATAAAATTTTACAGTTAAGCAGAGAAATTAATAATTATTTTAATCCAATTTTATAATTTGAAGATTAAATATATGATATAAATATTTGGTTCTTTTTTATTTTTTTAATTCTTAAAAAAATAATTAATTACCTGGTATCTAAATTACTTAATTTGGTATACAAAAAAGAAAGTTTGAAGTATTAATATATATTAATAATCTGATTAAAAAATTTACATATTAAAGTTTATGAATAAAAACAAGAATATCATAACATAAGATTTTTAAATAATAATATATACATGTTGCTAATTATTTATAAAATATTTTTGAAGAGTCGATTCTATAAATTAAATATAAAAGTTGATATAAAAATATTGTTTGAAGATTGAATCTTATTTATTAACTTAAAATTAATTGAAGTTTAGGTTAGAATAAGATAAATCTATCTTTATCATGCTAACTTTTTGCTCTATCTCCATCTCACTTCATTCAAATTAAACTTCAATTATTTATAACTTAATAAATAAATAATAATCGATATTTTTGTATATCAATTTTTGTATTTTTGTTTTGACGTTTAGAATCGATCCTATAAAGGTTTTCTACGAATATACATACATATTAACACCCTGAGAGGCAAGGTTGAGCGCAGGAGAAGCAAGCAAGCAGGTGAGACGAAGCGAAGCGGTGCTCAGGAAAACAGCATAGAAATAATAGTATAACAACTTCTCTGTTTCGCTCCATAGTCCGCTCACCTGCGACGTTTATACAAGGTGTCGCAAATTCTGCATAATCGCTGTCATTTCAATAGTGAGCTTCACATTGATCTATAGTAATCCAAATATTTAAAATTCTAAAAAAAATTAAAAAAGATTAGTACTCTATATTTTCTACAATCATTTTTGATTATATAGAAAAATTATATTCACTTGAAACAATTTTTTCTTCTTTTACTTACCATAGATATTTGTTTATATTATTCAACTGTAAATAAAAAGTATAAAATAATTTTTTATACTTTTTATATTTTTATTTTCACAAAAGATTAGTTGTTTATATTGCTCAATCATATTTACACATATTTTATTAAAAATTAAATTTGAATGAAATTATTATCTTTTCTTTTATTTATAAATCAAAAAAATCTTTTATATATTATAACATTTAATTCAAAAAGAACTAATCCTACTATAATAAATAAAATAAAAAATTCTATACCATATTTTTTTTATTATTACCATATTATTATATTAAACAACTTATTTATTTAAACATTAAAAAGTTTAATCTTTTATATAACATTTAATCCAAAAATGAATTAATCCTATTAAAATGATTCGTTAATTCATAATTAAAAACATATATTCTTGTCTGAAAAATTAATATTATATTTTAAAATAAAAAATAATTGCATTTCTTTTTAATTAATATTATAGTATACACAGTGTATTACTGCTGTAATCCTATATATTTGTTATAATCTAATTCCAATCACATTAAAAACACAATTCGATCAAAACAATTGTCTCCATCCTCTATTATCTATTAGTCAAGCTAGACATGATTAAATTCTCATTAATCCTCACCGACAGCTATATTATTGTTATCGTCTTTTTTCACGGACATCACAATCTACTTTTTCATTATATTTTTTGCATCACCCAGTATACGCGTCACAATATACACAACGACGCCACTATAGGAGGTTGTTCCGCGCTGTAGTAAGGTAGTGACCGATGCTGTTGGGATTCAGGTGTGCCTCAGACGCTCTTAGTTCTCTGGCGGTAGCCCACGCGAATCGCCACTGCTCTTTCTTTGACAGTGTGTCGTTTACCTCGAGACGATGACGAAAGATCCTGAGTACGCACCGGTCTCCGTTGCAATACACTGGATAAGGCCCTTGCCAAGTTTTCCGTCAATTTGATCAAGGTTCGTGAACTTGGTTGCAAGTATGACCCAGCAGGTGTTTTTGAAGTTGGAATAGTGAGTTATAAATGTTGAGGATGGAAATTGAGGAACTGTAAACAGTGACAGTTGCTGGTGAACACTTGGTAGGAGCATTAGTGGGAGTATTGGTGCTTTATAGGGTGACTCATAATATATTTGAATATATTATTGCAAGTGTAAGTAGATAGAAAATTATATAATTATATATTTTCAAAATAGAATACCCTAATATTAGAATTGTTAAATCAAATTAAATTGACTAGATTTGTTGCTTTGTAATTGCTTTTAACAAAATTAATATTAGTTTTTATTTAGTTAGGAATATATAATTATATATAATATATAAGATATAATATATATAATTATATATATTATATATATTATATTATATTATACATATATAAAATAAGATATATAATATATAAAAATTAGTGAAAAGATATATAATAGTTTATTTCATTTATTTTAACATTAAAATAGTTAAATTAAGTCAAATTGATTGATTTCAAAATGATTTCTTTTATTCATTATATATTATTTTATCATATATTTAAAACTAATTATTAAAATTACACAAATGCTCTTGGCAAAATTAGTATTAGTTTTTATTTAGATAGAAAAATAACTATATGAATCTAATTATTTTTATAATGGTATTTTGATTTTAATTATCTCTATACAATACATATATTCAGATATGTATTATAATTAATAGTTTTAATATTAAAAAGTTAGCAAAAATATGAATTAAAATATATGAAAAAAAATCACTTGCAATTTGATTTGTTAACTTGATAAGATAAGGAAAATATAATTATATAATAATTATATAATAAATGTATTATATAATTAAATAATAGATATATTGAAAAGAATATGAAATTTAAAATCTTTATTAAATACTGAATTTTTTGTATTGAAAATGAAAAATATCCTGTCTTTTTGAATATTTTATGTATAAATAAAATTTGAAATAGAATTGGAAATAATGTGTAGAGAATAGATAATGTGCATAGAATATTCATTATTAGAAAATCTTTATTTATGCAAAAATTTAAATGCATGAAATATTCAAAATATAGTATACATTATGTTATTTGAAAAATAAGATAAATCTCTATTTATCAATCAATTTCATTGGTTGTCTTCAACAAAATTGTATTTTGCATAAACATTCACAATTTATTATTTTTTTGTACAATTAATCATATTTTGAATAACTTAGAGATTTTATAATATATATATATATATATGAATTGTACAAAATTTATTAATATCATTAATAGATTGTGAATATTTATATATTTATAAAAACTTAAATATATAAAAAAAAATATGAGTCATTCTACTTACTATAAATATAATTTCTTAAAATTTTTTGGATACCATGTAAAGTTCATACACTGAGTCATTATATACGATAAATATAGTTTCTTGAAATTTTTTGGACACCGTATAGGGTTCATACAGAATTGAATTCGATACTCTCGTGACTTTTACAGTGTCATGTTTCTCTAAAGCTTCTTTTGTTCGGCACTATATGTCTAGTTTCCGTTTTGTTAGGTTAGAAATTGATGTTTAGGAATTTTTAAATGAATCACAAATTTTAATTTGTAAATAAATTATAAATTGCATTTTTGCATTATTCCAAATATATAATATTACAATTTATTTAATAATAATAAAACTTATTTCATAAAGTGAATATATTAAATTCGAATACGAGACTTTAATACAGATCAAATGTAATCTATTATTATTCGCTATTCGATTATTAAAAAATAGTGTTAAAAAAAAGTTAAAAAAAAGATTTTTTAATTCACTTTTAAATTAAAATAATTTGATCTATTGATTGTTGTTTAAATTTTTTTTATAAATTAAAATAAAATAATGAAGTATTATTTTATAATACTTCTATACTAAATAATTTTCAATATATTTTTATTCAATTTACTTTTGCTATTTACTTATTTACAATTTATTTACACTTTGTTTATATGTTAGTTACAATTTATATTTATTTACTTACAATATTGAATTTTAAACGAAGAAAACGTCGGAATAGGTGACAGTGAGAAATTCATTGGTGGAAATGTAAATGGCCGTTTAAGGTGTTCTCCGCGAATCGCGCGCTAAATTTAGCACTCTGCCTCTGCTAAATCGTCCAAGCGTTTATAACGATTCAAAATTTCTTTCATTTTGAATTTTGAAAACGATAAATAAACACGATAGGAAACGACGAGGTAAATGCAATTAGAGTCTATTTGGACGAGATTAATTTATTCTCATACAGATAGGAATAATATGTTGAAAACAGCCTACTTTTGGCGAATAAAGAATGGCGTATGTGTTTATATGTTACAATTAATTCCCTCTATCTCCGCATTCCATCTTTTTCCGCTCCGAATTTTGCTAGGTCGGTAAAACTGCAAATTAAGACCAGATCATGATCAGATTCTCGACTATTCTCTTTTGATTGTTTCTACAATTCTATTTTCATCGTTTGTTCAATTTTATGCACTATTATTCTCAAAATTTTACTCTGATGATTACAATTTGAATAAAGATGGATTTAGTGATTTTAGTGGATTTTGGTTTAAGAAATTCAAAAGTCGATTCATTCAATGAATCTTGATGGAATTATGGATTGTTCTATTCTTTTATTAAAATTTAAGGAAATAGAGTGATTTTTTTTATTATTATTATGACAATTTTTTCAATTTTTATTTATTATGACAATTATTTCATCTATTTAATTAAAAATTATACTAAATAAATAGTAATCCTAAAAAACAATATTATTACATTACATTAATCGGAAGTAATTTATTATGATTATAATTAGAATGAAAAAATTTATAATGAAAGATATAGAAAAATTTCTATAGTAAATTATCCCTCTCTTTTAATCCCTCTTTATTGCACCATATACACAATAGTGCAGCCATTTATTGTGAGTCATTTTGTCGTGCCTGGGTACTTTAATCGTTAACGAGCAAAATTCGCCAGTGGTTCATTAGCGGTCAAGAGTAAACACGTTCATTATCTTTATGGAATATTTGCTTAAGATCGTAATTTGTCGATGCACCTTGCGATAAAACGAATGAACTTTCAATGAATTCATTATTTCCACTGATTTTGAACGATCAATACTCCAGCTAGCTATTAACAAATAAAAAAAGAATTACTATACGTTATATCTATTTCATATTTATATATATCATAAATATATATCATAAATATTTTTTTGCTTTACAATATTAATAATTAAAACAAATTTGATAATAAAAATATTTTAAATTTAATTACTGCTATATCATACGATACATTGAAAAAAACAGCCAGTTTATCAAGAATTTTCCCTCAACTTTTCAAAAAAGTCTTTTCCATCGATCCACAAATCGTATCACTTTGATAACATCGAAATCAATAGCGATAATTGTCGCTAATAACAGTCGATAAAGTCCCCTTATCTATTCATTTTTCCTCCCGATTTTATCACTGTCTTCTAATCACGCGCGAAACATCGCGTTTTGGAAAAAAGGTTCCAGACGAAGAGGCCGATCACACGCGAGGACCTGTTGTGCCGAGGAATTGCAAGGTTTCCAAACGTTGCACGTGATTGGCCGGGACGGAAGGCAGCACAGTCCTACCGGAAGTCAACAGGAGCAGCCGCTGGTCGACTACAGGCGGCTGGTGTTCATCAGCTCGGATTCG